AAAAAAAAAAAAAAAAAGAATGGTGGTGTCCTAATGGCCAACTTCTGACATATTTGTTCAAGGTTAAAAAAAATTGTTTTTCCAATTTATGCCATGTTTTTAACTGAGCTGAAAGACCCCCGATTAATCACCTGATCTTCAAGTTCAGTCCCACTGTAGTATTACATTTCCGACCAGTCTTCTTCGAATCTTGACGTAAAGTTTCTACTCTGTTCCAACCAGTGGAATCATCATAACTTGGGTGACAGATGCCTTCTGTGCTCCAGGGAAGTCTCCTTGGCATCCGTAGGAACTGTCATTGAGTATTTACTGAATGAATCAAATGTTCTGTGCTTTCAGGAGATGTCCTTGGCTTTTCCATCCACGGCTTAGCCTCACTGATCCGGATGCCTTACGGCTGTGGGGAACAGAACATGATCAATTTTGCTCCAAATATTTACATTTTGGATTATCTTACTAAAAAGAGACAACTGACAGATACTTTAAAAGAAAAAGCCCTTTCATTTATGAGGCAAGGTAAGCATTTTGGAAAATTACTTTTGTTTGTTAAAAAAAAAGAAAAGCTTTTCTTTTTCTTTTTTCAAGGCAGGGTCACTCTAGACCAGATTTCAAAACGTGTAGGTTTTGTCTTTGGTGGGTGGTGGTGGGTCTAGATGTTGCTGTGTGCTGGGGCCACAAGCAGCGGGGAGCTGTTACCATTCTTTCTGTGGCTAATTGTTCACTTTTTGCTGCTAGGATGTAGGATTTTTTTTTCCTGGAGAGGTTTGTATTAAAATAAAGGATCTGAAATTTAAAACTCTTTAAAAATCTAAAGGACTACTCATCCGTTTGTTGATTACACATATGTGGAGTGTTTTTCAGTGCCAGGATCAGCCCTAGTGCAGAGGAAACAGAGAGTCAGGCCTTTCCTCTCGGGGAATTCATTGCTCAGTGGAGAGTATGGTCTGTCCATAAACACATGTGGTCATGTGGTGGGGCCTTCTCCGCACTTTAAAAATGTCAAACAGATGGGGTTGGGAGGGAACTGTCCATGTGGGAGGACCTGCTGTCCCCTCAGAACATGGCTTACGAGGGATGACTTGACCCCGACACCTTGAGCGGTGGAAACTGTTCACACACCCCAGATGATTTGTGTTCTCAACTTGCCATAGGAACAGTTAGTGTGACTTAAGTGCTCACTGCCTGGCAGGCTGTGCTCGAAGCACTTTACAGCTCATCTCTCTCTGAACGCTCACAGTCGTAGGTCAGTCCCTTTTTTTTTTTTTTTGCAGAGAAGGAAGCTGAGGAACAGAGAAGTTAACTCACTTGCCCAGGGTCATATAGCCAGGAAGCGGCAGAGCTGGGATTCAGACTCAGAGTTTACGTTCTGTCTGCACCTGGGAGGAAACGCAGAGTTGTGAGATGTGTTTAGTAATGTAAATTCGGTTTCCCGAAATACTCCAAAAGCCAACCCAAAGTTACAGTCTCAGTCCTGTATTTCCCCTCACCAGGGCACCTTTAGCAAGGTCTCTGTGTGGCTGAGTACTTCTCTCTGTGCCATTTGTATGGTATATCTTGGCCATCAAACTCATGAGGAATGGAAGGGTTCAGACAAAATGATTAGAAAACACTTGTTCAGGCTCAGTGCCTGTAGCTCAAGTGGCTAAGGCACCAGCCACATACACCAGAGCTGGTGGATTCGAATCCAACCCATGCCTGCCAAAATAACAATGACTACAACAACCAAAAAATAGCCGGGTGTTGTGGCGGGCACCTGTAGTTCCAGCTACTTGGGAGGCAGAGTCAGGAGAATCGCTTGAGCCAGGAGCTGGAGGTTGCTGTGAGCTGTGATGCCACAGCACTCTACTCAGGGGGACAGCTTGAGGCTCTGTCTCAAAAAAAAAACAAAAACAAAAAACAGAAAACACGTATTCAGTTAATCTAAGAAAAATAAAGCACAACACTTTCTAACTCCTAATTTTTTTTTTTGTCTTTTATAACAAATGGGTTAAATGCAAAGTACAGGCAAGCTATTAGCTGTTTCGCTAAGTTTTCCACAGAAGAATCAGGAAACTCAGTAAAGACACCATTGTGATGTAAGCCTTCCTTCCAGATTCCCTCGTTATATAACCACCTGTTTATCCTAAACTAATTCTATGTAATAACAGTAAGAGCAACTAACTCTGTTTCTGTGTTTTCCATGTTTCATTTAATTTTCGTGAAAACTCTGGGAAGTGGGTGTACTCTTACTATTTCCATTTTAAAGATGAGGTAACTGAGGCACAAGAAGCTTAGATATCTTGTTCATGGTGACCCCACAGGTCGTCCGGATCCACAGTCCACCTCGTCCTCAGAGCACTGTGGGATAATTCTAGTTTGCAACATTCCTGGGTGTTAGAAGCAAAGGAATAGGATGGAAAGGACTAGGACTTGGGCCACGATGCTTGAGTACCCCCAGTGTGCCAAAGGTCCCAACGGGGTTTCTGATTAGATGGTGAGGGAGAAATGCCGGGGTCCCTAGGGAGAAATGCCGGGGTCCCTAGGAAACACCACAGGGTAGGACCAGGGGTGTTGGATTAGGCTGCAGTGAGTGGTACAGAGTTGGGTTTGGGTAAATGAGCTGGAGTCAGTGTCCAAAGATCTCCCCAGGGTCAGAGATGAAGGCTGCATATTTGAGTGCGTGAGAGGCCAGAACAAGGGACACCAGGGCTCGGACTTAGGGCTGAGCAGGACCTGAGTTCTGAGTGGGGAAGGACATCGCAGTACATTTTCCCTTAGGTTATGGCCAGGCTCCAAAGACTCGGTGGCCGGCCCTCAAACCCGGGAGATGGTTAGGGCCTCTAGGAAATTCTAGGAGATCTGGTGTTTTCTGTACAGAATTGCCAATGTAAGATTGTCGTCCTTTATACGTGCTTGTGGGTCAGTCATATGATTAGTTATATTATCTGTTTCTCCTATGCATACACATACACATATAAGAACTGCTTTTTAAAAATTTTAATTATAATTAAGTTGAAGAACTGGTCCTGAGTGGTCTCTGGGGGCATATTGTGCGCCATGCTGGAAGCAGATGAGGTCTTTATACACTGGCAGGATGGCTGTGATTAAGGAGATACAGTAAAAAATATTTGGGATCATCTTGATTTAACTTTGTACCTTTTGAAAGCAAGATGCCACTTTGTATTCAAGATTAAGTTTGTCTGGTTTCAAGTAGAAAGTACATAGGAATGAGATTGGTGCCTTACAATTTGGTATGCTTTCTTTGGGATATTTTAATAAAATAAGGTATCTTAGAAAATGCCACCTAATTTCATATTTATATGTGCTTTGTGAACTGTCAGTTTGGCTAACTTAAAAATACAGAATAAATTTTAAATAGCTTGAACCATTTAAGGAATGATAACTCATTCCTTAAAAATAATTTGAGCTTGTGTCCTGGTTATTTTGCTGGGTCAGCAGCTGTCCTCAAAATGAGTGGTTTAAGTCCTCAGTATTTGTTTTTTTCTAGAAGCAGCAGCAGTTTTTCAGACTAGCCCCGACTAGGTAGGTGCCAAACAGTAGTCTTTTTTTCTTCCAAGTAGCCCTCTGGGCATCCCTGCTGATTGCTTGAGACCCTTTCTCATATTGGTTGGTTGTTAGAAGATACAGAGTGGCCAGGGGCATAAAAAGTCCCTGTTCCCTAGATGCCAAAGAATCTGTGAACTGCTCAGAGTGATGAGCACCACTGTGCAGTAGGGAGTCTCCTCTTGGGGGAACAAAGCGGCCAGGGGTTCAGGCCCTGGCCATGGAGGCTGCCAGACCTAGGCTCTAAGTCCCGGCCCCTACCTCGGGCAGGTTTCCTCAGCCTCTCAGAGGCTTGATTTTCTAATGTGCAGGAAATACAGGGTAATAAGAGAACCCACTTGGTGAGGCTGTTTGGAGGATTAAATGAGATATTTTAGCACCGGATTCTGCACATAATAAGTGCTCAGCAAACGTCAGCTGTAGCAGCCTTGTCAGCTGCTTCTAGCTGGAGTCAGGCTCTAAAGACAGCAAGCAAATCCTGTGCACGCTGCTTGTGAAAACAAATGGTGAAACGCTCCCATGTCTCTCCATCTTGCTGGTAGTTGTTCGCTCAAACAACACCATGGGTCCCCTGGATTCCTCCATGGCTTCCCTGGCCGTCTCTCCGCCTGTGTGTTCGCTCCCCTTTACTACAATCTCCGTATAATAGAAAAGGGATCTTTTGAAAACATCAAGATCCTGTCATGTGTGTGGTTAAACTCCTCCAGGGGGTTCCTGGCCTCAGCCTTCAAGGTCCTGGGTGAGGTGCTTGGCCTTGCTCTGGGCTCCCTGGTGGTGACGTCTGGAGCCTCCCAGCTGCAGGGAGCTCTGGGCCTTGAGCCTCCTCTCCTGGAATGCTCTTCCCCAGGCCTTCCCGCGGCGGGCCCTTGGCATCATTCAGGTGGCCTTTGATTCAGAGCCGCCTCCCTCCCCATTTAGCAGCCCTCATTTGTGCTGCTCCATTTTGTTTTTTTCACTTAACATGATTGAAGATTATCCTGCCCATCACCTGTCTCTGGCACTCAGAGGGCGAGCTCTGGGACGGTGGGGGCTGTGTTTAATCTCGTCTTCAGCGTGTTTCTGTGCGGCCACCTGGTTAAATCCAGGATGGCTGGATGAGTGACCATCTGAACTTATTGGCCTTGGGGTTCGTCATCCTAACTTGGAGATTGGGCCAGGAGATCTCTGAGGTGCTTCTCCCGCAGAGTGCAGTGATAATCTATGGACGTCGACACTTCTCCCCGCCCTCAGCATGTCCTTAACAGCTGGGAAATGTCCCCAGTGGTTCTGATGTGCTCCCCTCGGTGAAGCCAGCTGGTGAAAGTCAGCACAGTGGAGCTCCCCAAATACATCATCTCACACGATGAACTCAATCGTATTTCAAAGTAGTGGACGAAAGCTTTTTGGTATAATGTTTTTCATTATGAAATCAGCGTCTCATTTCAGAAACTCTGTCTTTTCCGGCCACATTTGCCAAAGTCCTTTAAATATACCGTCGTTTTTATTTTTTAGGAAATTAAAGTAGCTTTGATGTGAGTCATGATTATGTTATTTAAATGTCATTTATGAACAGTGCATTGTTTCACTTAAATCATGGTTGGCCCAGGAGTCCTGTAACCTAACCCATTGTTTGTTTGGTCAAAACAACAGCTACATCATTGAATGAAGTGTCTGTGCTGTCAAAAACAAAAATAGAACTATAAAACAAAAACTGTTTTTGATAAGGACTGGAAATCCTGAACTTGTTAATTGGAGACTTGTTTGCCTCAAATATTTAAATCATAGTGCCTGCAGCTCATTTTTTAAAAAAGTGAGACTCAGACCAAGTTGAGTTGAAAACACTTCATATTTTCTTTATTGAAGTGAAAACAAGAGAAAGTAGGCTTCAGAATCCTGGTGCTGTCATTGTCCATGGGTATAACTTGAGGCCATCGTGAAGAAGCTTAAAAAAAGCGTCAGGTTCTCACTTTCCATTTTATGTCATAGAAAGTAAGGAAGTTGGGCGGTGCCTGTGGCTCAAAGGAGTAGGGCACCGGCCCTGTATACTGTAGGTGGTGAGTTCAAACCCAGCCCTGGCCAAAAACTGTTAAAAAAAAAAAAAAAGTAAGGAAGTTGATCATTGTTACTTTTTTTTAGTACGGAGAATATTTTTATTAGGTTTTTACCAGCACACTTGCTTGATTTAGTGAGAAGGAGCTGGGTTCACCTTCAGCTTCAGATCTTGACACTTGAGGTAAACCAAGTCAAATTGTGTTTGGAAGGTTACCTTCTGGTGGGTTTCTGTGAATAGTACTTTCATTGCATTATGACAGATTCTGAAGATTTCATATTCTTGGTTATCCCAAACAATAGGGCTGTGACCCAGAAAAGTGTGTGTTTTATCTGAGTCTTCATAAATAGCAGTTCCTAGGTCATTATCTTAAGAGCCTCTTGACTCTCTTTGTATTTCAATTTTCAGAAGTGTCTGTAAGTTCTGATTGTACTATCACTTTCCAAACTCAAGCGCCGTTCATAAAACCATTAACTTAAAAGTGATGCTCTTGGCCGTGCCTGTGGCTCAAGCGGCTAAGGCGCCAGCCATGTACACCCAAGGTGGCGGGTTCGAATCCCCAGCCCGGACCCGCCAAACAACGATGACGGCTGCAACCAAAAAATAGCCGGGCGTTGTGGTGGGCGCCTGTGGTCCCAGCTACTTGGGAGGCGGAGGCAAGAGACTCGCTTGAGCCCAGGAGTTGTAGGTTGCTGTGAGCTGAGATGCCATGGCACTCTACCCAGGGGGACAGCTTGAGGCTCCTGTCTCAAACCAAAAAGAAAAAAAAAAAAGTGATGCTCTTATTTTCTCATACACTTTTAGAGAAAACTATGTTTTTTGCCTTTCTCCTTTATTGTGATGAAAAGTCTCCAACTTGGGTAACTACACTGGAGTGGTGAGTTGTATTAACAATAGACGTTACAGCCCAGTCAGCAGTATCCTTTCTGCTATGGAACAGGAGTTAGGCCTGATACCCTGGGTGATTTGGAGATCAAACAGCTGAGGGTTTTCCATGCTGCATGTGTGGTTTGAGGTGAGGAAGGGGACCTCACAGGAGACTTCCACAAGGGGGGTCGCACACGTTCTGCTCTCTAGCTTCTGGGTCTTCCTTTCTTTTTCCATGGGAGCAGAGCTGGTGGTTTGGGTTCTCAGAAGTTCACTCCACACTGGAGATGACATGTGGTCTCTTCTCTGGGCTGGCTGCCTCTGGTGGAAGAACAGTGCTAGTTGTTGATACTAATGGGGAATGTTGGAGTTGGGCCACCTGAGGGGTAATTTCCATAAGCACTGATCTCATCTGCATGATCTCATCTCGACCAGTTTCACAACGTCTTGTACTTGGAACTGCAACTGACGGGATGGACGTAGGGGCTGGGAGGCTCATGGTTTTGCCTTGAGTGTGGTCCTTTCACAGAAGTACCTGCTGTTGTGATCGAGGGCCTCAGGAATCTCCCCCCACTCCACTGGCACCCCACCCTCGCCTTTTCTTCTTTCCTCTTTTCTATTAGTTTAGATTCACAGTTAAACTCTGGCTTATGGTGAATTTAGTCCAGAACTGAAAATTGAGGGACAATGTCCTGGGCTCTTGCTAATTTGTTTTGTGAACCTTAAAAAAATGTCCCGCCTTTCTGCGATCCCTAACTACCTCTGAAAAAGAGAAAATAATTGCATTTTTTCAAGGTTATATAAAAAACTAAAGTGAACTAATGGCTTTATTTTTTCATTCCTGTTTGTCTTACTTTTGAATATGTAGAACATTAACACACTTTTAAAAGTCACACAATCTAAACACGTATGTCCGAAGGGGCGTCTCTCCCTTTTCTCTCCCTTTTCTTTTCCCTTTGTGTGTAACTCATTTCCCAGAGGTACCGTTAGGTAACAAAGGCAAAGTCTAAAATAGCCGTGTGTGTGCACCACAGTGAATACCCCTCTCCTTGTCCCTACCCCTCGTGAGTACTTTCTAATATTTTACAATTACAGATAAAGCTGCAGTGAGTGATCTGTATATATATTTTTGGCTTGTTGGAGATCTTCAGGATTGATTCCTACAAGTAGGATTATTGGGTCAAAGAGTAAGAAATCCTCCTATATAGTAGTTGTACCCTCTGAATTCCCTCCAGCAATGCGTGAGTCCTGGTTCTGCACAGTCCACTCAGCAAAACGAGTGGTTGGACTTTTGAATTTTTGCTGATCTAATGGGTGAGAAGTGATGTCTCTGTTGTCCTACTATGAAGTTGAACATGTTTTTGTATATTAAAGTTTGTCTTTGTATGTCTGTCTTTTATGACGTGTCTATTCTAGTCTTTCGTACACTTTTTTTTTTCTATAGGACTTTTTGTCTTTTTCCTTAATTAAAAAAAGTTTTTTCTGCATATTAACATATAAATAAAATTTCGTGTATTATTGCTGTCAGTTATCTATTCATCTTATATGTTACAAATACCCTCTTTTCATTTGTTTCTTAACCTTGTTTATAGTGTGCTTTGCCAAGGGAAAGTTTAAAAACTTTTTGTAGAGTCAAATTTATGAATTTTTTAATTTGATCAAGCTCACACTGAGGAAACCTTTCCCTAACATATGTTAGAGAGTAATGCCTATTGTTTATTGAGAGCTTGCCCTGTAAAAGGGACTGGATAAGGACCTTTCTTCTATTATCATGTTTAGTCATTGAAAGAGCTCTGTGATTTACTAGGACACGGTGACTTCGGAACCTGAGTGAGCTGGGCTAATTCCCACTCCACTACCTATTAACTGTGTTGCCTTGCACACGCTGTCTGTATTCTCGGAGTTTCATTCTCTGTTGTGAGAATTACCCGAGTCCAAATCTGCAAGGGGCTTTGAACAGTTCCTGACATCTAGGCAGAGTTGAATAAAAGTTGGTTATTTAATTATTATTTGAATATTATTAAATATTTTGAGTATAAACACAAAGATTATAATCTAATGCTCCCTTCTTCAAGGTAAGAAAAATTCTGCCGTCACTTTAAATGTTTATGTTGCTTTTACCGTAAGTCTTGGAGGTCACCATGTAGCCTCGTATCTTGTTTTTTACCACGTTTTGTTTTGCTGTAATTTGAGTTAGATGCTCAAACCTAGGGGTTCTTAGCTCAAGCAAGAAAGGTGGGGACTTCATGGCCAGACCAGATTAACTGTAATTTTAAGCTATTAATGCTCATGTTTTGTTAGTGAAATGTGGATCATTATAGTCACTGATGCTCCTGAAATACAGTATTCATAAAGTAAAATGTGTTTATTACTAGGGTTTACTGGGGATTGAATTCAACGTTTCACCAATGAGTGTGGTTGCCAGCCCTGCTGCAAAGCTTAGGCTCTGGGCCCTTACCTGCTAATAGTGAAGTCCTGTGGTTTTCAGGACGGGGTCTTAATTGTCAGAGGATGATGGGCAAGGCCTTGAGCTGGAAATGTTCTGGCTTATGTTTGCTTTTTAATGATAAATTATGGCTATTTTAACTTCATTTTTAGTAAGTTAGTTTATCGTGGGTTGTTTGGTGAATTCTTTAGAGTTTGGCCTATGGTTTCTCAGCCACTGGGCTTTGAGGCCTGTATGCATCGTCTTGAAAAATAAAACATCTGTCACTTATTTGCACATATGAATCATCTGCTTTTATTAAAGCAGATTCACAAGGCTTAACCCCTGTCCTAGTTTACTTCTATATGGAAACTTCATTACCACCACCATGTACTTGAATTGGTGTGGTAGGTGGACTAGCTGCTCCTGTGGTTTACCCCAATTGGCCATGACCGAGAAGTCTAAGAGTGATTGTCTTAGATCACTTAGCATTTTTCTATATCCACACCTGGCCTAGGAATAGTTTAATCTTCAGCTTTAATTCTGATATCCCAGATTCTACTTTTCTTAGGTAGCAAATGGTTTTAGATGCCTAAGCACCAAAACCACCGTGGTGAATACTAGTGAGTTAAATGAAGCTCTACCTTTACTTTGCTTAGTTTTGAATGGGTGGAAGGGTCTTCCATGCTGTAGTATTCTTTTGAATTTACTTTCTGGAGATCATAGTTCTTATTTTACACATTCTGTTTGAAAAATTCTGGCATTTTAAATTTCCTACCACACTTAAAATAGAAAATCCTCACTGTTAGTCATTGGCTTGATTTCTTTTTTACCCTTCTCTGGCCTCATTTTCTCCGTGTGAGGTGATGGTTAGAAACTTCCATTCATTGCCCTTGACGGTGATGTTGAACATTGGTTCATTTGTGTGTCTTCAGGTTACCAGAGAGAACTTCTCTATCAGAGGGAAGACGGCTCCTTCAGTGCTTTTGGGGACGATGACCCTTCTGGGAGTACTTGGTAAGTGTTTTTGCCAAGTGGACAAGGCCATTGTGGAATGGGCTTCTACTAGGTCACAATGGCCGTGAACTGAGTAGGCACGTCTCCATGTGCTGTGGTCTGGGAGGCTGCTTTTCCCAAAGTCTGGCTTGAAAAGAGAATCTCCTCTTAAAATATTATTTTAAAACATTAAACAAATCAAATGTTTTTATTTAGAAAAGATGAGTCATAAATCCTCTTTTTGTGTGTGTGGTATAAACAGCAGTAAAACTAGTTTATGATCATGGTGTAACTGATAAGAACAATCGGTTAGAGTTGGGTGATTGTGACATAGCTGTTTTCCTAATCTGACATGATTCATACAAATGTTGTGTTAATACAGTTGACGTAGTTTCTTTAAGATTATTTTCTGTGAGAAACTAACAGTTAATGGAATTAATCATGAACATTCAGAGTTTCCTTCAGACTGGAGTCTCCATGTGGCCGATTTTGGACAATTTTACTGTACCAGTCGGGTCAGACCAGGCGGTGGTGCTAACCCACCTTTCTCCTACGTCTGAGCAGTTTGTTCTCAAGGTGTTTCCTGGGAGTGCTGCGTTTCCATTTTGGATCAGCAGGGGGCTCTGCAGACATTCTCCAGCAGTGGCCATGGCACCAGCTGGTTGGTGGCTCCAGCTTGTCTCTGTCAGGGAAGAGAAGGCTGGAGCATGTTGCTCTAGTAATTAGATACTTCAGCCTCAGGGGAACATGTCTACTTACTTTGTCATTATCAGAGCTTGTCACATGGCCATGCCTAACTTCAAGGGGACAGGGAGGTTAATTCCCTTGTGTACCCAAAGTAAAAAAGAACTGGGTGTTATATGGGGCATTGGTAATGTTTATCAGACCAAAGTGTGTGTAAGATGAAACAGATCTGCTCCACATTTTCTCTTGGCTGGGGTCAGACTATGGATCCATAAATAGAAAGTTTCAGTGTTTTATTGCTTGATGTTCTTTTGACCTCAATGTATGTTCTGTGGCGGCCGTTGGCAAACTTTTCCTTGGGAGGCTCAGATGGTAAATGTTTTAGACGTTTTGGGTCCTGTAGAACCTGTTGAAGGTTCTTCCCGCCTTTCTTCTTTCGTTCCTTCTTTTGCCCTCTCCCCTCCCTCCTTCTCTCCCTCTCTCTTTTCCTTCCATATTTACTGTTTCGTTCCTTTCTTCCTCAAAACAATCATTCTTAGGTGGTGTTGGTGGCAGGTGGGGGGTGGTGCAGGCATAAACAGGCCCTGGGCTGTGTTTGGCCTGCTGGTCAGACTTGGGCCGGGCAGATTCGGCCCCCAGGCTGTAGTTTGCCCCCGCCTGTCCTGTAGGACAGGAGACACCCATTTCTCTCAGTTTAAGACACTACGTTTGCAGAGCAAAGTGTGTATGAGATCTTTTTTGGTAAATAGCTAGAACAGTCCAAAGATGAGTAACCTTGGAGAATTTATTTAACTCTCTGGGACTGTAGAATTCTCAATCTAGAAAATGATGAGGCTGGATTAGATGATTTCTAACTTCCTTTTCAAATCTGATATTCTGTGAGTCAGTCTGGAGTTCCCTGGCCAGGTCCGCCTGCTAGACACAGTTGTTTCTACTGTCTCTTTGCTGTCATCCTTTTTTTATTTTTCTTTAAATTTGAGATAGAGTCTCACTATGTCACCCTGGGTAGAGTGCTGTGGCATCACAGCTCACAGCAACCTCAAACTCTTGGGCTTAAGTGATTCTCTTGCCTCAGCCTCCCAAGTAGCT